TTACAGTGTCGGCCCGTGGACCAAAGAGTCGTGGGTTCAATTCCGGCTAAGGGCACGTTCCTCGGTTGCAGCCGCCCCGGCCCGGTTGGGGTCGTGTGGGTGGCAGCCACTCGCTGTGTCTCCCTCACATCGATGTTTCTCTCTCCCCCCCCCTCCCGCTCCATCTGAAGGCAAACGGCGTTTCTTCCTGCACGACGTTGCTTTGATGGCTCTATTTCCAGGCTGTCTGCGTGGCACTGATCTCCTTGTGCTGTTAGTTTTGACTGCTGTCGCTTTGAGTGTAACTTGCAGTCCGAGTGTATCCCTTCCGGCTTTGTTCTTCGTTGAGGTTATTTTGATTCCTTTAGGTCCTTGCGAATTAGAGGCCACCGTCAATTCTACTTTAGGAGCGGAAGTGTCGATGTTGGACATCTCCGCCTCGTTCTTGCTGAGTCGATTGTTATACAACGTATGTTGTATGATTGCACTGCCCACAGATGTTCTTATCTGATTAAGGTCGTGCCCATTTCTCGTTTGCTGAGATTTGGGGTTTTTAAAATTATTTTTTAATCCTCACCTAAGGATATTTTTCCATTTTTCTTCAGATAGAGTGGGAGGGAGGGAGGGAGGGAGGGAGAGAGGGAGAAACATCCATGTGAAAGGGACACATCGACTGGCTGCCTTCTGTTCGACCCCGACCAGGGGACGAACTGCAACTGAAGTCCGTGCCCTTGACGGGAATCAAACACACGACTCACTGGGCCGCAGGCTGACACCCTGACCACTGAGCCGGGGCGATTTTGGGGTTAAGATCATGAACGTGTGTTGTGTTTCGTCAAACACTTTCTATCTAAAGGAATGATTATTTTAGTCCCTTATATTGTTGACACTTTATCTTCATTTCTGAATGTTAAACCAGTTCTGTACTCGTTTCAGACTCCCCCTGGTTGCGCTGTATCATCATCCTTCTTGTACCCTAATGGGTTTTCGTTCCTAGTATTTGGTTAAAGATTTTGCATCTACATACATGTCTGCCCTGTCTTGGGAAGATGTGGGTCAGCCTCAGAGAAGTATTCTCTGCTTTCTCAATTGATCTTTACGATTGATAGTTGGTATTAATTCTGCCTTACGTGTCTTGTAATGCACCAGTGACCTGGGACAGGGCTTTCTAGGAAAAAATGTATAATAAGTTATATTTACAGTAAGTTAAATTACTTTTTATAGAGCAAGTTGCCTATTTCTTGATTCAGTCTTGCTCAGTTTGGTTTTTTAAGGAATTTAATTTCACCTAGATTGTTAAACTTATTGGTTAAATTGTTCATATGATTCTTTCGAAGGCCCGTAGAATCCAGATATTCCATCTTTCATTCCTGACATTGGCAATTTGTCATTTCTTTGTCTTGTCTGTGCTTGTTAATTGTCCGGCAATGTTATTAACCTTTTGAAAAACAAGTTTTAGCTTTGTCAAGTTTTTGTTTTCTTATTTCCTGCTGACTTTCCTAACTTCAAGGAGAGGTTCAGTTGGTGTGAAGCCGTCTCCCGAGCACCGCAAGCCGATGTCCCTTGACACACTCCTTCCGCTGAATCTCACAGATTTTCATTGTCATTTAGTTTCAAGTGTTATCTCATTTCTCTTGTGATTTTATTTTCAAATATTATTTTCTAGCTATTGTACTGTATTGATTCCAATATAGTTCCTGTGGTCAAGGACTCAATCACCTGAAATTCACTGGGACTTGTCCTCTGACCCATCCCAGGGTAGCCCTTCCGTGTGCATTTGAGAAACCGCCGAACAGTTCCGCACAAAACGTGTCAGGTCACGGGAGGTGAGACCGTCATCGCTAGGTTGGGGGACATCCTCGGCTTGTTCCTGTCTCAGGAGAAAAACCTGTTTGTCTTTTTACTTACATCCGTTTCTCTTTTTCCCACTGTGTTTGTAATTCTTCCTCTGTGCCCACCTTCACGTGGCTCCTGAGCCACTTTCGGCGTCCCTTCCGAAGCTCTTCGGCAGCTCTGGCTACAGCCCTTTGCACTGTTTTCACTGGGTGCTCTGGGGTTAATACACATCACTAACTTACTACTGCTTTACACTGATCCATGAACTTGCAACCACACCGTCTGTTACAACCTGACGGCAAACGGGCGGAGCTGGCCTGGGCGGCACGCGGACGTGGCTTTCCATGTCTTGCTGAAGCCAGTGCACGGTCTCCGCGTCCTCACGGCAAACACAGAGCTAAGGAAGCAGGTCTGACCGAAACACTCCACAGTATTTTTTCAAACTTAAATCTGAAGACCGTGAATGACGGAGAACTCTGCAAACCTCTTCTGGTTTCCCTCTAATGTAGAAAACAGAACGAGGGGTGCGCCACTGCCCCCGTGTTGGAGCCACCCGGCTTCGCGTCGCCCGTCAGACACAGTGTTGCCACGAACTCTGGAAACCACCAGAGACCTGCTGCTGAGGGCACCACACCCGGCCCAGCAGGAGGCAGGCGTGTCCCACGCGTCCGAACAGCCCAGCGCTCTGCTCTGGGGCTCAGAGCAACGTGCCCAGCAGCGTGGAAACCGCGTGTCCGGTCAGAGTTTGGGAGTCGATGCCAACACCGCACACGCACCACTGTCCTCCATCCACGCCCTGAGGGGACATGCGTCCCCGTGTTCCAGCCGAGTGCAGGACCGCAGTTCAGGACTGTGCTCAGCCAGTAAAACGAGCGGCACGGACACTGATGTCATGTGCGGGGTCGGGGCTGCCCTTGTCGCCTGCTTACACATGGCTCTGCACAGGGCACCCTAAGGGGGCGGGCAGGACTCTCAGGTCAGGGATCCACTTGCAGTAAACGCAGGACACTTGAAGGCTGACAACCGAGAGACTGAAAAGCAAAGAAACCTGGGGTCCTATTAAGAGACAAAAAGACGAAAGCATCTTAATAAGCACACCGAGGACCTATCTCCAACCAGATCACCGGACCAAACGGCCTGAGTTACTGAGAGCCAACACTGCCTGCAGGTGGGTATTACTGAAGGCAGGGGGAGTACATACATCATGTTTAACAGCAAGTGGTTGAATTTCTGTGTTGAAAATGTGAAATCCACTTGAGTGACAGTGTTTCCCATTAGCGACACCGTGCTCCCCATGAGTCAGCTCCATCAAGGTCGTGAGACCCCTTCCGAAACAGTGTAATAGATTTATGTTAAAGACAACATGTGTATTGAAAGTAGCAATTTTATTTGAGTTAAAATTATTTACAAAAACCCAAAGACATACTTCATGAAACTGGTACAAACTAGTTTTTTCCTGCCGTTGGCTTTTGCTCCAAAGATCACAGCTGAGAAATACTGTATAAAATAAAAATAAGATTGGATTCAGAAAAGTACTCTACTGTTCTAATTTCCAAGTGGTAGTATTTACAGAAATATTTACAATTGAAAAAAGATTACTTTAAAACTTTAATTTGTAAGTCAGCCTCAAGTACCCTAGAATGCAGAGTTCTCTGAGGGTCCCACACACAAATGCACTGCGGGGGGAGGCGGCTCCCCCCACCCCCACCAAAACCTGCATCCGTATCAGTGCTCGACAATTAGCTATTATTTAAATAACACAACAAAAAGCTGTTAAACACTGAGGTAAATCAGTTCTCAGACGATTACCAGTGTAACAGAAAATGTAGCTGGCCCTGATTGTTCTCATCCAAATGTTCTATTGTCAGCTTCACCAAAAATCTGTTCCTTTCCCTAAACCAATGATTAATAAATATCAATGTATTTTAAAACAGTTAAACACCAGATCTCTGATTCAGTTGCACGGAGAGCTTCCACCCACTGAAGCTCGCAGTTTGCTCAGCCGGCCACACTCGGGCGCTGGGGGCAGGGCCGGGGGCAGGGCCAGGGGCGGGGCCGGGGGCGGGGCTGGGGTCGGCAGGAGGAGTAAGAAAACCATTTGCCTGGAACCAGTTACTTCCTAATAGGTTTCCCAACAATCTGCATTATCAAAAATAGGAAGACATTAGAAGGCAGCCGCCGCAGCACACGCTGCAGCCGGCACGGATACAAGAGCCCCGACTTGTCGCTTTATACAAGGAAATAACAAAGTCTACGTGAGTAAAAATTAGACTTTTAGCTATTTTCCCCAGTACACACCAAACTAATATTTTTATGGCTTCAAGTTTTACAAATCCAATGAAGAAACATGATGTAACTACCTGAAAGGTATTAAAAACATTAATGAAATAGGTCTCTGGAGAGCCTATACTCAGGCCCAAGTAAAGGAGAAACGTATAACCAGTGGCCTGAACAGTAATACAAGAACAATTTGCAATGTTGTGAAATTAAATGTTTTGTGTGTTCCATGACTGTTTTCCAAACCACACACTGCTCTATGAACTAAGAATCTGAATGGGAAAAAAAAGGATCTTTTTCTACACCAGCAATTTAAGGCTTTGCGTTTATGCATTTGATCCTGTCACTCTGTAGAAGAATATAAACGTCATCTGGAAACGTGAGTTCCACATTGGTGTCTTAGCTTCCGTATACTCGCTGCACTGAACACAGAAAATACATCTAGGGAGTCCTCCCTCGAAACTAGCGTTTCGTGCGCTCCCTTAGCGTCACGCGTGAACGACCCTGGGCCTGTCCTCCTGCTTCAGCTTGCACAGGGCACATCGCCACATCAAGTCCCTCAGCTGTCCCTGGTCTCCTCCGTCTGTATCGTGACTCATCAGGGATCACGACGGACACGTCCTGGTCTGAGGAGGGAAAGAGCCTGCCAGCCCATCAAACAGAATAAAAACATGCTCTTCCTCCCTCGTGTCTTTGGATTCCATCTGATTTTAAATACAGACAGTAGTTCAGGGAACAACAAGAAAAAATTTCACAAAATTATTAAAAGCTTTATTTACGATTGGAATCATTCAACAAAAAAGCAAAAGCAAATGAGCCTGAAAAAGGAACGGAGCTGCTGCCCAGGATGCCTGCGGACCCCGGGCCGTGCAGCGGCCGCCTGCCCCGGGCTGGGCGGCGGCGGTGGCTCAGCACACACAGCAGTTGCACTAACAGCAGCACGACCCCCTGACCTTGCCCAGAGGGACGCACGAGAACAAGGGGGAGTGTCCACTCTGCAAGGACGTGTGTGTAAATACTGCATGGAATGAACAGCCTGGACCTTCCCTCATTTTTGATAGTTGCAGATTGATGTAGTAACTGTCACTGAGCAAACGCAGGACGCGTGAGGGAGAACTCGGGAGGCCTCCGCAATCCAGACGTGGTGAGCCGACGCTGCTCCCGGTGTTCCTCCAGGACGCCCCTCGTGACTTCCTGGTCTGAGACTGCGCCAGCGCCGCCGAGCCCTGGAGCGAAGGCAGAGCAGCTAGCAGTGCTCCAAGTACTCGATCACCCTGGAGATGGACTTCTGGCCCGTGGTTCCCACAGCACACTGCCGGGGGCGGGGGCGGCAGAGAGGAGGCACCAGTTAACATTTTACACATTTTAAAACGTATTAGAACAAAGCATACATTCTTTAGCTTTACTAAACTGAACACTATGAACCAAAACACACTGCGGTTAAATTGTGGCTTTGATATTACAGTCGTCCCTCGCTTATCACGGTTAATCGGTCCGGACTCCAGCGGTGGCACCTGGCGTTGAAGGGTTTCTGGGTGCTCAAATGCACAGGCTACAGTCCATGTGGACGGTAACTTTAATTGCAACTGTGATACAGGGTGTATAATTAACTCAGACAACTGAGTGCACGCTGTATCATTTTCAATGTCTCGATCCACTTTTTTTTTTTTTTTTATCCTCACCCGAGGACATTTTTCCATTTTTTGTTCAGATAGAGCAGGAGGGAGAGAGAGGGAGAGAGAGGAAGAGAAACATTGATGTGAAGGGACACATCGAGTGGCTGCCACCCGCACGACCAACCAGGGCCGGGGACAAACTGCAACCAAGCACGTGCCCTTAGCGGGAACCGAACCCGGGTCTCTCTGTACCGCAGGCCGACGCTCCAACCGCTGAGCCAAACCGGCCAGGGCTCGATCCACTTTTTAATGAATATATTTGAAAAAACCGCGACAGAGTGAAGTCGTGAAAGTCGAAGCGCATAGTGGCGGGGACGCCTGTATATCCATGTATTTGGCCATAAAAATCACCAGCTCTCTCAAATATAGCACACTTATTAAGAGAGGCCCCTTGGCCCTGGCCGGGTGGCTCAGCTGGCTGGCATGTCCTCCCACACACCAGAGGATGTGGATTCTACCCTGGGTCAGGGTGAGGACAGCGGTAACTCACTGATCGATGTTTCTCTCTCCCTTCCTTTCTCTAAAAATCAATGAAAAACATATCCTTGGGTGAGGAGGGAGGGGAGGGGTGGGGAGGGGAGGGGAGGGGAGGGGAAGGGAGGAAGAAAGTAAGAGAAAATCCGTTTTTCCTTCCCCTCACTATGGCCATTGCATTTTCATTTCAGCTGTCATCAATGTATCAGCTATATCTAAAACCACAGAAGCTGCACTAGGAGCTACTTACAGTAAGATTCATAAAGCTCAGGAACTTTTTGAGCATCTCTGTCATTATCGAAAAGTCCCCTTCTGGCAGATACTCCCGCACAGTGGTCACATTGATCTGAGGAAACAGCAAGGACAGGCTGGTCAGCCCAGGCCGGGTGGCCTAGTGGCTGAGCATCGTCCCCCGCCCACCGGTTGCTGGCTTGATTCCTGGTCGGGGCACGTGCCCAGGTGGCGGGTTCGATCCCCAGTTAGGATGCGTTCGGGAGGCAACCAACTGACGTTTCTCTCTTACATTTATGGTTTTCTCTCCCTCTTCCTTCCGCACTCTTTGAAATCAATAAAAACATTTTAAAAAAGAGGAAGAAGTAGTGCTGGTCAGGGGCAGACACACGAGTGGGCCCTGTGCTGATGGTTTGGTGCGCAGCTCCGTTCCAAAGCTTGCCGGGTGCCTGAGCTGTGCAATGCGACGTCCCCGGTGATCCCCGAGGTCACTCAGCCCTGCCCGCGTGCGCCCGCTCTCTGCCACCCCAGCCCCGGCGAGGAAGGAAAAGGCAGCACTGGCGGAGGCCACACGGGGAGCCTGTGTGCACATTTACTGTGAAACTGTACAGAAAAATGCCGACCTCAACAACACTGCTGCTGACTCAGAGTGTGTGCTGGGGGGGCCAGGGGCCAGGGGAGGAGGGAGTGCAGATTGAAAACATCACACTTCAGAGTGTACTCAGAGCTGCTTGGGGAATAAAAAAAAAAAGATCAAAGAAGATCCCTCATGTTCCACAGGTGAATTCAACCAACCGAGAGGGCCAGGAATGAGCGGAGCTTCCCGAAGGTGAGCCGGTACAAAGCGTGAGAGGGCGGCAGGGGCCGGAGGGCAGCCGAGCCCTACGCACAGCAATGCCTGTGAGAAGAGCATCCGACCCGCTTGGAAAACTGTTCTGTGGCCCTGGCCGGTGTGCTCAGTGGTTAGAGTGTCAGCCCACACACCCAAGAGCCTCGGGTTCAATTCCGGTCAAGGGCACGTACCTCGGTTGAGGTTGCGTCTGCGGCCCAGGTCCGGTCATGAGGGAGGCAACCAGTCGATGTGTCTCTCGTATCGACATCCCTCCCCTGACAACCGGACTAGAAGATAAATGGGAAACCGTCTCCGGGCGAGGACTATGGAGACAAGAGCTGCTCCGTGTCGCCTTTCCGCCGTCTGAGCAGCACCAGGGCGGTGCGCAAGAACAAACGCCTTCCAAAGGGCAAGGAGCCAAGAAGTGTCTGATCCATTTTCTAAGGCAGATGGGAACGAGCTACAAGCACCAGTTACATCGACATAAGAAATATGGGGAAACGCTAGTCCCATGAGGCCTCAGGCACCGAAACCACATCTGAGGGCCCCGAGGGCTGCGTGTTTGCAGGGAGCCAGCCAACCTGCAGAAGATGAGACTGTGTTTGGAAACCAAGCTGATGACCGAGGATGCTCAGGGCTGACCCTGCCGCACAGAGCTCCCTGCGCGGCTCCCACCGTGAAAAGCCGCCCCCGCTCGGACAGCAGCAGACCACACCAGCTCGTGTGCCGTCACTCTTGGCGGTTATTTGCTTCGTCGGTTTGTGTTGGTTTTACTAAAAGTGCAGCCATCAGATCGAGAAGACCTCTGACGCTCAGCATCAGCAAGCCACCCAAATCCAGAAAAGATGGTGGAAATCATGACCCGAGTGCGGACAGTGACTGGGAAGAAGTGGTCGGTGAACGGGCTCGGACGCGTGGAGAAGACGAGAGGCCCGCGGTCTGCCGCCTGCCCCTCGAGGTCTCCAGAAGCCAGGATGCCGAAGCAGCCCTGCGCCGGAGACTCGGGCGGCCCGGCGGCGAGGGCTGCAGTCTGAGAAAGACACTAGGGGCGCGACAGGCGCTGAGCTGAGCGAGCTGGTGGACACGGCCCGTCAGAACCTGTTCAAAATCTGAACTTTTAACAGTGACCAACAAAACATTTTATTTGAGGGGAAAAACGGCTCTACTTCAGCACGTCTTTTGAATGCTCTGGAAGCTGATGAAGAACAAAAGGAAACGCCACACGCAGACAAGCTGCCCAGAGTAGGGGGGCGGGGCAGCAGGGCCTCTGGCCGACTGGTGGGCGGGGCAGGCAAGAGGAGCACAATCACTGTTAGCGATCTGCCAGCAGCGCCCTTCTCCCTTCTTAAAATGTTTCCTGGGTACTTTTAAAATTAAAAAGGAAGCAAAATAATGGTACCAATAGTTTCAGAAAAGATCTAATAGAAGATGTTGCTAAGCAACTGCGTGCGAAGGTGTGTGACATCATCGCCGCTTCTAGCGGGCCTCCCCATCGAAAGCCAACACAGGTCCCCAGCACAATCTTGCAGCTAAAACACTTAAGAGAACTTACATAACATTTAAAAAAATACACCGAGCCGGCACATAGGGTCACGTTGGGGTGCGGTCGTGGAGTGCAGAACGTGGCCTCGCCGGGAAACTCAGCGAGCAAGTCCCCAGCTAGCTGGCATGGCTCAGTGGACTGAGCGTCATCCCGTGGACTGAGAGGTCCCGGTTCAATTCCCGGTCAGGGGGCGTGCAGGAGGCAGTCAACTGATGTTTCTCTCTCACATCGATGTTGCTATCTCTCTCCCTTCCTCTCTCTCTAAAAAAAATCAATGAAAACAGTTTTAAAAAAGTGAGTGTGCAAGGGCACTACACACTGAAAATCCGCAGCAGCAGCTCTCAGTGTGGGGTCTCGGCAGTGACGTCATCACTCCCTGACCGGTGGCGAGAGAACTGAGGAGGCAGGGGGCCCCACGTGCAGGCTCACAGGGTTGCAGTGAGAGAGCAGGAGGGGCAGACAGACCGCAGGGCGCTGACCGCTGCAGGCACCTGATGCGCGTGGGCAGTGGGCACCCTGAGCACGAGGCCCTCCGCTGTCAGGCAGCGTTCAAGGCCCTGCACGTACACACTGGGCAAACCAATTTCCTTCGCGCTTCGTGGTGTCAGCGAGCTTTTTCGGGATACTCATAATGACCCCCACGGCAACAAAGACATCTGGGCTCTAGGAATTCACAAGATTCCCCACAACGTAGAGACTTGATCATCTCTTTAGAGATGAAAACAACAGGAAAGATGTTCCAAGATAAACCACGTGCAGTAACAAAACGAGTTAATTTCAAGTACCATTGTTTAAGAAGGAACAATGACGAAACTAGGGTGTTTAAAATAGAATACCCTACAATGTACACAGGGTGTCCCCTGCTTCTGTGAGCCCCTCTGCCGCCCCTCCCGCTGCCGAAGGGCTAGGCTGAGCCCGGAGCCGCGGCACGGCGCGCGCGCAGACCAGCGACTGCAATGCACACGTGGCGGACACGGGAGATGCAGACACGTGCACAGGACTGAATACAAATGGACACGGGGAACAGGCGACACAGAAAACCTGAAAGCAAGAGTGACAGCGTCCACTTCCGGTCAGGGTGGCGGGGAGGTGAACGCGGTGTCCGTCCTCCCACGACCACATCAAAGTTACAACCAAGCTACAGAACCGCCATCCCGCAGAGCCGCCTGACACCAAGCTGAGTGGAAGCCCTACAGCTACGGAATTAAAGCCACCGCACAGGGAGACTGGTAGGAGGGCAGAGGGGACGGCCTGGTCCCACACCCATGTGTGGCGGATAAAAATCAGGACGAGCCCTGGCCAGTTTGGCTGAGTGGTTAGAATGTCGGCCTGCGGTCCAGAGAGACCCGGGTTTGGTCCCCGCTAAAGGCACGTACCTCAGATGCGGTTTGTCCCCGGCCCTGGTTGGTCGTGTAGCAACCACTCGATGTGTCCCTTTCACGTCGATGTTTCTCTCTCTCTCTTTCCCTCCCACTCTATCTGAACAAAAAATGAAAAAATGTCCTCGGGTGAGGATTAAAAAAAAAAAAAAAATCAGGACGATACCTCATTTTCCCGGCTGGGAAGGTCCTCCCTGAGAACTGAAGGGTCCCCGTCCCACACCAGGTGCCCCACTCAGGGTCCCAGTGCAGGGAAGAGAGTCCCCATCACTTCTGGCTGGAAAAACCAGCGGGAACTGAGGCTCAGGGAGGCTGAGGCGGCTGGAGACCCAGGCAGCTCCTTAAAGGGCCGGCGCACGGACTTATCGGACTCACTCCCTCTAAGCTCGGAGGGGAGGCAGCTCGAGGGGCACCAGAGACATACAGGGAAGAACTGAGCTGTTTGGCACTGGAGCGAGGGCTGGAGAGGGAGCTTTCTCTGGGACAAACATGCTGTCAGAGGCCTTTGTCCCTTTGGTGAGCCCTTCCCTGGGGCGGCAGACAGACGCCATATCTGGGACTCCAGCAACCTGGCTCACACTGGTAGCCCCGCCCTGCTGACTCCCTGAGGCCCCGCCCCACCCAACTTTCAGGCCCACCCAAGCTGTTGCCACTTGCTTAACCACAGGATTGGCCTGTCTTGGATCTTGCCTCAGGTTTTTCCTAAATTCTTTCAAACAAGCAACATCTGGTCTCAGATAGCCCCATACCCCTTGTTAAGTAATACACAGAAACAAACACAGGGAGGCAGCCAAAATGAGGAGACAAAGAAACAGGTCCCAAATGAAAGAACAGAACAAAACCCCAGGAAAAGAACTAAGCGAAATGGAGATAAGCAACCTAACAGAGGCTGAGTTCAAAATACTGCTTATAAGGATGCTCAATGAACTTAGTGAGAACCTCAGTGAACTTACTGAGGGCCTCAAGAGCATAAAAATGGACCAGTCAGAAATGAAGGATGCACAGTCAGAAATGAAGGAGGCATTAACTGAAATAAAGAATAATTTACACAGATTCAATAGTAGAGTACGTAAATCCAAGGAGCAAACCATCGATTTGGAATATAAGGAAGCAAAAAATGCCCAATCAGAACAGCAAAAAGAAAAAATAGAATCCAACAAAATGAGGATAGTGTAAGGAGCCTCTGGGACAACTTCAAGCGTGCCAACATTCGCATCTTGGGGGTACCAGAAGGAGAAGAGCGAGAACAAGAAATTGAAAACCTGTTTGCAACAATAATGGCAGAAAACTTTCCTAACTTGGTGAAGGAAACAGACATACAAGTCCAGGAAGCACAGAGAGTCCCAAACAAGATGAACCCCAAGAGGCCCACACCAAGACACATCATCATCAAAATGCAAAAGGTTCAAGACAAAGAGAGAATCTTAAAAGCAGCAAGAGAAAGGCAGTTAGTTACCTACAAGGGAGTTTCCATCAGACTGTCAGCTGATTTCTGAAAAGAAACTTTGCAGGCCAGAAGGGAGTGGCAAGAAATATTCAGAGTGATGAAAAGCAAGAACCTGCAACCAAGATTACTCTCTCCTGCAAAGCTGTCATTTAGAATCGATGGACATATAAAAACTTTCCCAGACAAGAAAAAGTTAAAGGAGTTCATCACCACCAAACCGTTATTATATGAAATGATGAAGGGTCTTTTTGAAGAAAAAGATAAAATGTATGAACAAACAAAATGGCAATGAATACATATCTATCAACAATGGAATCTACAAACAAAATGAACAGGTAGAACAGAAACATTCTCATAGATACAGAGAAAATTTTGGAGGAGGGTTGGGGGAATGGGTGAAAAAGCTGAAGGGATTAAGAAGTACAAATTGGTTGCTAGACTGACAAACCTCAAAGAGAGGGGGTTGGTGGGTGGGAAGAAATAAATCAAAGAACTTATATGTGTAACCAATGACACAGACAACAGTGTGGGGAAAGCAGGAGGGGGGCGGGAGTGGGGAGGAGGGGGGTCAGTGGGGGAAAAATGAGGAACATCTGTAATACATTCAATAATAAAGAAAAAAAAGGGGGGGGGGAGAGTGACAGTGTCTGTGGGGGACAGACCGCAGCACCAATGCCCCCCTAATAAGCCCTGCACATCGTCACTGAGGTCCCACCCTTTCAGTCTCAGAAATGAGCCCTGCTCACTACACAACAGACCTCAGCTCCTCCCTGCCTGCCGGATGCCCTGGCTCCTAAAATGCATCCCTTTCATTTAAAGCTTTGCCTTTCCTACTGGTCCCTTAAGAACTCAACACCGACACCCTCCCCGTGCACTTGAAAGCAGGCTGTCCCGAAGGCCACCCGCCCGCTGGGCGCACCCGCGGCACAGAGCTGGACGCTCCTCCTCCTCGTAGTGAATCCCAATCATCCAAGGCTCACATGGTGCCCATCTTCCTGGCCAGGGAGTAGCCAGGCAAAAGCACAGGAGCCCATCTGGCCAAGATGAAGCTGCTCGGTGCAGGGTGTGAAGGGGCCTGGGGTAACAGAAGCACTGCTCTCGAGAAGAAATGTGCTGCCCTGGCTGTGACTCCGTGGGCAGAGCGCCAGCCCACACACAGAAGGGCTGCAGGTCAATCTCTAGCCCGCTCAAGGCGCATCGAGAGGCAACTGATGTTTCTCTCTCTCTCCTCACTCTCCCCAGCCATCCCCTCCCTTCCACTCTCTTAAAAGAAAAAAAAAGAAAAGAAAAAAATCAATAGAAAAAATATCTTCAGGTGAGGATTAACAAACAAAAAGAAAAGAAAGAGGAAGAGGCCCCGTTTTCTGCTGGGCACAGCTGCGGCCCCCAGGCCGCGAGAGGGAGCTGGCAAAGGAGAGGCAGCAGCAAAGGGCAGGGCGGTGCAAACCCAGAACGGCCCGTCCTCGGTCTCCCGGCGCTGGGCCTCCGCCTGGAGCCAGCCAGCACAGGCTTCATGTTCCGCTCTCTGTTACGTCCACCAGAGGCACGCGAGTTGACTTGTCGTCCGTTGGTCAATAATGTCCTCCTTAAACCCATTATACTCTCACTTTAGAACGTACCTTTAAAAGTTCACCAAAGACTCAGAATAGTCACAGGGATGTGAAGTACCGCCTAAGAAACATCGCCAATCACACTGCAATAACTGTGCTCGGTGCCAGGGCCCTGGAAATACTGGGCACTCCCTCAAGTGCAGGCCTGTCTACTGCTATGCTGCACATCTGCACCAATGCAATTTAATACGGAATGTAAACTGTGATTGAAAAATAAAATTAAAAAAAGTTCACCAAATATTTGAAAGTTTTTAGCACGAGGGGAAAAGTAATGAAGAAGCTGATCAGATGCTGGCACGAGGCCCCGCAGCAGAACCCCGGCCCCCCCCGCCGTCACTTACCGGGCTCTCCTGGCAGAGGCAGCCGAGCAGCAGCGCCGTGTACGAGGCCACGATGCAGTCCTCCATGTGCTTGCCCGCGTGCTGGAGCGCTGCGGAGACAGGGCGTGCGACAGGCGTCAGGGCAGAGACCAGACACCAATCACTCTGCTAATGATCTTGTCTCCAAAACACTGATACACGATACTAGGAAAACAGGCTATCCACACAAATCAACAACAACAAAACGACTCAAACTGGAGAGGCTATAGAACTAAAACCATAAAACAGACTGTTTGTGCTGCCGGGCTGGGGGACGGTGTCCTAGAAAGAACACTAACACCATAAACGGCAAAGTAAAAAATAGGTAAGTTGGACCTCATCAAACTTAAAACTTTCGTGTTTCAAAAGATACCATATACACCATCATGAAAGTGAAAAAACCTTCAGAATACACCTGCAAATCATACACCTGTGCTCAGGGCCTGGTGTCCAGAACATATAAAGAAAGTGACAGCAAGAAGATAAGCCAATGTAAAATATGGGCATGTGAACAGACATTTCTCCAAAGACAGGTAAACGAGCACCAAGCATGCGGAAAGAGGTTCACCATCACTCATTCACTAGGGAAGACAAATCAGGGACACACCTTCCACCCACCAGGATGGCTGACATGAGAGGCACCTGGAGGACCCAGAAAGAGCAACAGGATCCCTTACATGCTGCTGGTGGGAAATTAAAATGGCACAACCACTTTGGAAAATAATTTGGCAGTTCCTTAAAAGGTTCAACACAGAATTCAGAAATATTCCAGCAATTCCATACTCAGGTACATACTAAAGAAAATTTATAATATTATGTTCACACAGAAACGTGTACATGAATGTTTATAGTAGCATTATTCATTGCAACCAAAGGTAGACACAAACCCAAACGCCCATCAACAGATGACTAAACAAAATGTGGTATGTCTAGACCTACAACGAAGTATTACTTGGCTCTAAACATGAATTAAGTACGACACATGCTATAACATGGATGAACACTGAAAACATCAGACTAAGTGAAAGAAGCAGTCACAGAGGGCTGTATCGTATGCTTCCATTTATATGCAATGTCTAGAATCGGAACCTCTAGAAACAAAAGATTCAAGTGTCCGGTGGCTGTGGAGGGAACGAGAGGTCACTGCTGTTCGCAGGGACAGGGTTTCTATGGGGTGATGAAATGTTCTGAAGTTAAGACAGTGATGATGAGTTCACAACACTGTGAATATATTAAAAACTACTCAATTGTTTACTTTAGAAGAATAAATTCATCTCGTCTTGGCTAGTGTACTCAGTGGTTAGTGTCGATCCAAGAACTGAAGGGTCTCAGGCCCGAGTCCCGGCCAAGAGCATGTTCTTGGGCTGCAGGTTCGACCCCAGCCCCAGCTGGGGCACATGCAGCAAGCACCACTCAATGTGTCTCTTTCACACTGATGTTTCTTTTTCTCTCCCCCCTACTCCCTCCCTAAAAAAATCAGTGGATCCTAGCTGGTGTGGCTAAGTGGACTGAGTGTGGTCCCATAGACTGAGAGGTCCAAGTTCGATTCCCGGTCAGAGCACATGCCCAGGTTGTGGGCTCCACCCCCAGTAAGGGGCGTGCAGGAGGCAGCCTATCGATGTTTCTCTCACATTGATGTTTCTATCTCCCTTCCCCCCTCTCAAAAAAAACACACCAATTCTGAAAAAAAAAAAAAAAAAAAAAAGAAGGAAAAAAATAGTCTCCAGTAAGAATCAACCAAAAGCAGAATGAGTGTGTACTGTACGGAGCTGATTCACATCTCCCTCCCAGCTTGTGTGTTGGCCTCGGGACACGACTGCACTGAGGCACAGGGAGACTGACTGAAAAGGTGGCTCATCTCAACGAGGTCATCAGGGCGCCCAGTCTAACACGACTGCTGTGCACACGGAGGGAATGAGAAGCAGGCGCAGGAAGGGGGAGGCCATGCAGATCCCCAGGGAGAAGCTGGTCACCTACAGACCACAAAGAGAAGCTTCACAGGACACCTGGGCCTGGACTCGCGGCCTCCATCCAGACCGCAGGGCAAGCCCGAGAGCCACGAGCCTGTGCACTTCGCTGCGGCAGCCCTCGCCAGCTAGGGCGCATCCCAGATAAAACCATTACTTACAGAGACTGCTAAGCAATCAGAAATACATGCCCAAGGAAAGAAAAACTGAGTGACTGAGCCCGGGCTGGTGGCTCCGTGGTCTGAGTGCTGGCCTGAGACCCGAAGGTTGCTGGTTGGGCCCTGGGCCCTGGCGGCCCTGGCGGCCCTGGCTGGGGTGTCTGCGGGAGGCAACCCATCAATGTGTCTCTCACACTGAGTTTCTCTCTCTCCCCCTTCCACTCTCTCTAAAAAAAAAAAAAAATCAATGCAAAAATATCCTCAAATGAGGATTAACAAACACCACCACAACAAAACAAACTTAGTAAATGAGAAAATAAAACAGTTTTCACTATTGACGTCAGACTTGGAGAGCAGCGGGCACGAGAGAGAGAGACCAGACTCAGAATCAAACATGACTGGTGCTTGCTTCCCAGCTGGGTGTAGATGAACACAATGCATCTCATAACCTGAGTGACATGAAATTACAAATGGCTACTTTGGAGAACTACCAGGAATCAAGTGTCACGCAGTTCCTGACAACAGCAGATGTTTGCCTAGTACAGACATCACCCTCAGTTTGCTCCCTACTGTTCTGCACCAACCACATCACATGACAATAACTGTGACGTATACCCATACATCCAGTACATAAAGTGAGGCCAACAGAATAATTTCAGCTTCAGAACGGTGCAGCCTCCAGGGCCGTGTCCAGCTCTGCTCTGCAGTGAGGCAGGCTGGCGGGAGGGACGGCCGCCCGCCCCACACTGCACTGTGCCCTCCGCGCTGCCAGGTGCCAGGCAACGCCCATGCACACTAGACACCAGAGCTGTGTGCACTGAGCCAGAGAGGCCTGACAGCAGATGAAGTGAAAGATCACGACAACACATGAATTAAAAGTATGTTCTGGAGAAAAATAAGCCATGATTCTCAGTTTGAATATACCACCAAAGTAAACATACCTTTATTGAGGTCAAGCCCCTCCTCCTCCTCCTCCTTCCTCTCCTCCGCACCGTCGGCCTTCTCAGCTGACACCCACTGGATCTCTCCGCTCGTCTCCTGCCACTCTCCACTCTTGTCGTGCTGAGTGGTGGGGGCGTCTTTGATCAGCTCGTCTGTCTTACTTTCTGCCAACTGGGCGGCTCGCTCTCGTTCAAGGAAGAGCTGACAAAAGTTATTTTTGAAGAGAATAAAAAAGGTCACCAACAACATGTATGTGGCCAAGCATGAAGCTGTTTGCTGTTGAACATCACGAAGCCTAGGAAGCAGGCTGTCTGACGGAAGGTTCCGATCAGCGCGAGGAGCCGCCGCCTGCTCCCGCCCCAGGAAGGTGACAGCAGCTGAGTGCGCTGCACCGACGGGGAAGCGCTGTGTCCTGACTGCACAGGCGTTCTGGTTGCAAGAATGAAGGCTCAATACTTTTTCATTTGGATAATACTGACAAAAAATTCAAGCAAACAACCTACAAACTTGAATTAAACACATTTTTTAAAAAAACCCAAGCAAAATGGGGGAATTAACTGAAAAAAAGAACACTGAATAAATTTACATAACACTAGGTAAAAACAACATAGCTTTGTTAAAAGAAAACAGTGAAAGGTAAAAAGCAGAAGGTCTCAGGGAAAGACACAGTACCGGGACCCAGTGTCACTGGAAATGGAATGCGCCGTGTGCCCGCAGTGGGGGCGCAGGACACTCCGAGGCAAGGGGGCAAGGGCATGGCCTCCTCCCATCCTCACTGCTCTCCCCTGCACTGGCACAGAGGTGGGCATGCAGAGGGCATTAACACACTGGACATGTACAGGGCATTAACACACTGGACATGCAGAGGGCATTAACACACTGGACATGTACAGGGCATTAACACACTGGACATGCAGAGGGCATTAACACACTGGACATGCAGAGGGCATTAACACACTGGACATGCAGAGGGCATTAACACACTGGACATGCAGAGGGCATTAACACACTGGACATGTACAGGGCATTAACACACTGGACATGCAGAGGGCATTAACACACTGGACATGCAGAGGGCATTAACACACTGGACATGTACAGGGCATTAACACACTGGACATGTACAGGGCATTAACACACTGGACATGCAGAGGGCATTAACGCACTGGACATGTACAGGGCATTAACGCACTGGACATGTACAGGGCATTAACGCACTGGACATGCAGAGGGCATTAACGCACTGGACATGCAGAGGGCATTAACACACTGGACATGCAGAGGGCATTAACACACTGGTATGACCTGGAGAAGACGCCACATTACTAAAGACAACTACCTAAAAATCAAATGCCAAGTAGAACTAAGATTTCATTTGTATACAAAAGAGTGGTATGTAAAATCTAACACCCTTAAAAAGATAAAATTTAAGTTTTATATAAAGCAGCATTTCTTAAAATTGGTTCAAGGATCCCTGGGGATTCCCCAAGGTCCTTCCGGGAGTCTGTGAGGTCAAAGCTGCACCCCTAATGACACTGAGGTCTCCTGACTGCACGTCGCTCCCCAGAGCACACGCCACGTTCCACTACTGCTCTCACGAGTGGAACGGGTGCCTGTGTTCTCAGTTTTGATTTCTAATTGAGTAAATATGGAAAGATACAGCACACATAAACAAAAGATCTTTGGAGTCCCCAATCATTCTTAAGAGTATAAAGAAGTCTTAAGATCAAAATGTTTGAGATGAGAATGATGGGCTCCTAGTTACGATTCAGGAAAAGATCAAGTTTGTTGTGGATTACTTTCTGAAGACACAGTTCAAGCATAATTAGTTTCAAAAAGGCCAAAAGGATTAACAGGTTAGCAAAGGCCTCAGAAACAATGAAGAGGATGGTTCATTATCACTTCTGAATATATGCAAACTGTCACTTAAGGAAATGACAAAGGCAGCTAAGAATTTATGAGACTGGCAAAAATGTGTCCACTGTTGCCAAAAAACAAGAACTCACATACAGTTTTTTTTTTGGGGGGGGAGGATAAATAGAAGGAAGAGGGAGTATGTGTTTGGGGTGGGCTGAATTGGAGACATCAATTTAAAAAATACATATTCTACTACAATTCCCAAGCCAGGAAATCACTCTACATACACACTTTGAAAACCATGGCCCCATATTTAGGCCACACAGTCCCGGGCACAGATCAGACCAGTAAGCACATGCTGGAGGACTCACTCACACCAGATGAGGGGCTGGAGGCTGATTCCCGATTTGTTACTAATAAACTGTTTTTGACTTATAAACAAATATGCCTCATTTATGCTTTTCACTAATGCCTACGGAGCGATCACAAGAGTGAAGACAGCAGCAGAGCAGAAGGTAGGCAGGGGCCTTCATTCTGCCGAGGCAGCTCTCACTGCACTGCCGAGGGGGGGGGGGTGTGGAGGGGGGTGGTGGTGGTGAAGGGGCAAAGGTCAGGAAATTGAGCAGAGGCGACAAGCTGAAGCCGCTGCTCAGGCTGCTGCTCACCTGCACCAGAGCCTGCACGGCGTGGACCTGCCCTGCCCCCCGCCAGCTGCCGTCCCCTTCCCCGCTGCAGAGGGAGGAGTCGAAGGAGCAGGCCGTCTCCATGCTGACCAGGCAGTGGCGGTTCCGAGCGCTGTACTCGACCAGGTTTATCAGCAGCCCCAGGCCCTGCGGGAGCGGAGACGCACACTGCAGTGAGAACTAGAGCCGGCTGAACACGACATGCCTAGCTTTCGTCGGTGACTGGAGATCTGATCAGTGCCCTACCATCTACAGAGGTTAAAACTAGTATGTAAGGTGACAGTCTTCCCAAAAATGATCTCACCACTTTCTAAAAATCACCACTTTCAGCCCTTCACTTATTTGTACGCAGGGCCCTTCACAGCTCTCTTCTGTACAAGATTACAGTCATAAGGACTGCAGTCATCTATTAAAACCCCCCAAACATCGAACAATTGGTTCCAATCCCAAAACCAAGACGATGTTTTCATCGTTAATCGGGTCCTCATTTCTGAAACCCCGCCAACGCACCAGCACTCGGATGTCAAATCTCTGCTCCTGAGGTAGGTACTTGGGGACCTGCAGCACGCAGCTCATCGCCGTGCCGATCAGGCCGTCCTGCTCTCCTGTCTTGGTGCTCCCCCACTCTGAAACACAGTGTCAGCAGGGTTACCGATTCTTCTTTACGACACCAACAGCTAACACGCATCAAGGACATTAAGTTAGAAATACACAGCTATTTCTTCTTTGAAACACACTGTTAACTGTATTATTTCCCAGCCAACATACCAGGCTGGCTCTAAAAATATCCACCCCTAAAAGCAGTCAAGTGAATCTGAGTGACAGGAAGGCAGCACACAAAGCAACCACTGCAAGGCAAGAGGACAGGGGCGTGGCCACGCCCACGTGCAGACAGAGGTTGCGCAGTGACAGCGCAGGCACACGCCCACCATTGTCGTTGGTCAGGTTGAGCAGCACGCCGATGACGGCCCTCATGCAGTCCTCCACGGCGCGGCCCACGTGGCTGGCCACGCTCTGCTGCGGCAGCGGCTGGCCGTCGGGGACACACACGCTGCTGTCGGCGCGGTTGTACTGCTGGATCAGCTCCTCGCAGTGCCGCAGAGCTCTGGGGGGACAGGATGTGCAGTTAGATACACAAGGATGGTTACACCAGAAACTTCTTGCTTGGACCTTAATGTTTCAAATCCATCATAAATGCTTCCAAGTTAATCTATTTTCTATTCCCAAAGTTGTGTTACTATTCAATCACATACCAAGTGTGGTATCACACTAGCTGCTGTATCTGATTTATTTTGGGAAAATGTGATCATTTAGATTTTCCTAGGCCAAGTTCAATGATAAACGCAATACAGACATTTCTGTCTGTCTTACCTGCAGTTGTCCCTCATTTTACCTCTCTCTCCAACAACTGACCACAACCCCTCCCCCAACGAGCTAAAATTTTTAAGAGCTAACACTAGGCACTTCTGAATTTCATTTAGATGTTTATTTTATTTCATTCATTCATTCATTCATTCATTCATTCATTCATTCATTTTTTAAAGAGACCAGCCCGGAGGATCTGCCTCAGGCTGGCCTGAAATACGTGGGTTCTTGACTTCATGCCGGAAAGATCGCGCCGGGAAGTTCAGGGATTTTGAGAGCACGTTCATTAAAGCTGGGGACGGTGAAACGAGGAGGGGGTTAGGGCAGACGCAGCAGTAAGAGAGCCGAGCTGGGGCTGCTCCCGCTCACTGAGAAATAAAAGTCGTGGTGACAGAAGTGGGCCAAGGGGGCACTGTCAGCTCACTGGCAAGTCGGAGAAGAGGGAACCTTGGAGACAGGTTCAAGGGGTCAGCCTGGGACAAGCTGCTGCTGCCCCCTGCTGCCCCGGTTGCAAGTTTCCTGGGAAGGGAAGGGCATGGGCCTGCTCCCAGGAAGGAGGGCATGCCAATTTACATGCTTTTGAATGCATGCTCTCAGCAGGTGGAGAATATTCCTTATATTAATAATGCACAATAAATAACCCTGCACATAGATGGGTATTAAATACTTCATAAACTTTGGAGCGAATGACAGGTCAGTGAACTGACTGGTTCCCAGCAGACATCAAGGTGTCAGCTGCACTCAAGGGTTCTCAAGATGCCACCCAAGTAACAAGGACACATAATGCTTAAGCAGGTCTAGTATTTCCAACTACTCTCCTTACACCACCAAGCCCATTAAAAAAGTCAATGAGAGATGATATGAGTTGACTCTGTCAGTTGATTTTTCATGTTTACACACCACACAAAACCCTCAAAGAAAACTGTACTATATCTGTTGGTTAGGAAGGTATTTCTCATGTCTAATCTAAAATAATTTCTCATTTAGATGTCTGGAGATGTTAGCCACAACTACTGTGTTGTTACTGTTAACCAACTGCTTGGACTGAGAGGTGGGTGGAAAAGGGAGGGCATATTATTTCACCTTTCAGTGTGCTGTCCTGCATTTACCAGAGTTCTGCATTCAAATTCCAAAAGCCAGATGAGTGATCTTGCGCAAACATCCAACTCTGACCTCTACTGCTACTTCTGAGACACCTGACACACAGCCCCTGATGACACAGGAGAGCTGGGACCTTCACTGCCAGGAGTCACGAGACGTGCAAGAGGTGTTTTACAAGTAAGAGATCTATTGAACTTGCAAGAATACTCTCTGGTAAGGGAGGAAAAACGGGGTTAAAAAAAACTAGAACACATGCCTTTAGGGTGTTAAGTGGGATACAAAATCAAGACAAAAGAGATGGAGAAGAAATTTACAGATTAAGAAAATCTATTAGAAACCAGATACTACTAGAAATGTAAGACTACTGGAAACTGAATACTGACTGCGTATATGATATTAAGCAATTAATAATTTACAGAGTTATGAAAATAGTACTGTGGTTATATTTTTAAAGAGTCCTCTTGCATATACTTACTTAACTATTTATGAAGGAATGATAAATCTGTAGTTTGCTTCAAGATTATATAGAAGGTGGAATGGATACAGTTTCATATGGAAACAAGACCAAGACTGGTCTTGATTATTCAAGCTGAATGATGTGTACCATCAGGGTTTATTATACTATTTGGTCATGTACAAAATTCTCCCAAATAAGAGGTTTAAAAAAAGATGAACTTGAGTCAGGTAGTGAGTGGGCCTTTGATACTATACTAAGGACTTTGGATATACATGCAAAAACAGCAAGGAGGACTTCCGGTCAAGACGGAAGTAGGTAAACGCGGTATCGCGTCCTCCCACAACCACATCAAAGTTACAACTAAACTACAGAACAACCATCATTCCAAACCGCCTGAAATCAAGCTGAATAGAAGTCCTACAACTACGGAATTAAAGCAGCAGCCACATCCAGACTGGTAGGAGGGTGGTAGGAGGAGCAAACCATTGACTTGGAATATAAGGAAGCAAAAAACACCCAACAGAACAGCAAAAAGAAAAAGAATCCAAAAAAATGAGGATAATGTAAGGAGCCTCTGGGACAACTTCAAACATGCCAACATTCGCATCTTGGGGGTGCCAGAAGGAGAAGAGAGGGAACAGGAAATTGAAAACCTGTTTGAAACAATAATGGCAGAAAACTTTCCTAACTTGGTGAAGGAAACAGACATTCAAGTCCAGGAAGCACAGAGAGTCCCAAACAAGATGAACCCCAAGAGGCCCACACCAAGACACATCATCATCAAAATGCAAAAAGTTCAAGACAAAGAGAGAATCTTAAAAGCAGCAAGAGAAAGGCAGCTAGTTACCTACAAGGGAGTTCCCATTAGGCTGTCAGCTGATTTCTCAAAAGAAACTTTGCAGGCCAGAAGGGAGTGGCAAGAAATATTCAGAGTGATGAAAAGTAAGAACCTACAACCAAAATTACTCTATCCGGCAAAGCTGTCATTTAGAATCGATGGACATATAAAAACTTTCCCAGACAAGAAAAAGTTAAAGGAGTTCATCACTACCAAACTGTTATTATATGAAATGATGGTCTTTTTGAAGAAAAAGATAAAATGTATGAACAAACAAAATGGCAATGAATACATATCTATCAACAATGGAATCTACAAACAAAATGAACAGGTAGAACAGAAACACTGTCATAGATACAGAGAACATTTTGTTGGTTGCCAGATGGGAGGGGGGTTGGGGGAATGGGTGAAAAAGCTGAAGGGATGAAGAAGTACAAATTGGTTGCTAGACTGACAAACCTCAAAGGGAAAGGGGTTGGGGGGTGGGAAGAAATAAACCAAAGAACTTATATGCATAACCAATGGACACAGACAATAGTGTGGGAAAAGGTGGGAGGGGGGCGGGAGTGGGGAGGACGGGGGTCAATGGGGGAAAAATGTGGAACATCTGTAATACATTTTACATCCAACAATAAAGATTTAAAAAAAAAGAACTGACAGTGTTTATACTGTATGCCAACAAGTATCGTTCTAGGCCTCATACATATATATTAACTCTTTTAATACATATTATTTATAATATATATAACATACAAGAGACATTTAAAAATCATTTTCAAAATCTAAGACTATATTTTATGTATATATATACATTCTTTACTATAACCATTTTTAAAGTGTCACGATCTGACATGCACACGCACACTGTTCTCTCCACTGCCGCCACCGCCTCGAGCAAGCAGGTGCCGCCGCTGACTCGAGCCTGCGCCCCAGCCTGTGCTGCTCGCACCGCTTCCGGGACACGGGATTCGACAGACACAAGTATTTTATGGAGGAAGATGATACAACAGCATTTTCTTTATGGTCAATCCAATGCTTTAAATAAAAAGCGTGATTATTTCAGACAGACTTACTTAGCTGATGAAACAATGAGCTGTGAATCTTTATATGCTATCAAGTAGCTTTGATTCTCTGGATTATGCACTGTCACCTAAAAGGGAAACATTGGCATAACTGTACAATCCAAAACTTTATTTATTCACATGGAACACACTATGACTGGTGCTCCAAAAGACATAAAAGGTGAGGAAATTCAGCCCTTGTCATGTAAGGGAATAACGACCCACATGTTCCAAATTTAAAATAGAAGAGCTCTCTCTTCATTATAAAATTAAAATATCACTGTTACGATTGCTCGCTCTCATGATTCTGTGATCTTTACCAATGAATCACCAAGCACCCTGAATGTCAGAGAAGAGTGGTATCTAACTCATGTACAACTAATAAAATTCTTAAGTGCCTTCATTTAGAATAAAAAACATACAGGGGTTGGCAAAAGTAGGTTTACAGTTGTGAGTATACGAACATTTATTCTTGTATTATTATTTCCATACAGACCACGGTAAAAATACTTTGCCCATCTCTGTATATATGTTTACCAAGTGTGCCTGAAGCACTCTAGCAGAGAGAAGGAACAGTTTCTACTAAGCCAGAAAATTGTTTATTGATTGATTAGAGAGATAAATTTGTTGTTCCACTTACTTATGCATTCATTGGTTGCTTCTTGAATGGGCCCTGACCAGAGATTAAACCTGCAACCTGGGTTATAGGAATGACGCTCTAACCAACTGAGCTACCTGAATAGGGCCAGAAACTTTTAATTACACTAGATTATTTTCCCACAGATGTTTCAAACAGTTCCTAGCTACTCCAATCTAATCAATACACAATCTATGCATCTTGACTAATCTACACTGAACTGGGTTAAGTTATTCATAAAAGCCAAAGAACAAACACACGCATGGCACCCAGTTCAACTGTTATCGTTCTTCAACGCCAAATATTATGGAAAATCCCCATTACGTAAAAAACAAAACAAAAAAACCTGACTGCATTTAACTATCATCCCCCCGCCCAAACAAGTTAATACATTTAAGCAAAATCCCACCTTAAGGCAAGAAGGGTAACATTCGGCAATATAAACAAACCTGACACACAGGTTTCGTGTGGAGCAGCACATCCTTAAAACACTAAACTGCTCATTTTACTTGTTCACTGACAGTGGTTGCTCAAAGAATACATTGTAATTTCAATTTGAATTTCTTTAAAACTTAACCTCTAGAGACATAAAAATTATTTGGCACTCTCACATAGTCACAATTAAAAGAGTAAATACTTTTCTCCAAATAGTTGTCAATACTTACACTTTCTAGAACTCGTAAACATCTCTCTGCTCCCCACAACGAGGCTACTAGTTTCTCTTCATCCTCATCTCTACTTAGATGATCTACACATTCTTTCACTAGGAGAGAAAGGACATACATCAGTCTGTCTCATCACCTCAATACCTGCCCCTGAACTAACAGTAAAAGCCAACTGCACATGCTCTGAATGTGCTAGAACCTCTGAATACTACTCACTCTCAGTTCTATACTATGAGACTTTATTTGTAATTATTTTCTTTCCATCACTTCCCAATTCAAAACATTAATGGCATTTCCTGTCAAAGTTAGAGATTTGCAAGATGCTACTAAAAGAACAAATTTTTTCAAATTGATGCAATTATTTTTGAAATACGTAAATAATATTTAGGCTTTTAAATAATATATAAAATGTTATATATATATTTATCATACCTTTATCTACAATATGATCCAGACCACCCAAAAGCCGGAGTTCTTCTTTAAACCAGTCTCCTGCTCGCTTAGAAGTAAGGGACAGTAACGTCTCCATAGCTAAATGCCCAGTCTAAAAATCAGAAGCACCATTAATGAATCCTCACTCTTAGCAACGATTCCGAGGCAACACTTCTAGAGGTTTTCTTTAGAAAAGTTCATTGCATGCTACCAGCTCACAGCATTATTATTATTTTTAATTTCTTACTGATTTTAGAGAGGAAGGGGCGGAGAGAGAGAGAGGCATCAGCAGCTGCCTCCCACACGCACCCAGACCCCAGCCTAGGCACGCGCCCTCACTGAGAATGGAACCGGGCACCTTTCAGTGCACGGGAAGGTGCCCATCACTGAGCCACACCAGCCAGAGCCATAGCATCTTCATAATGCAGTTAAGAGCTTTCATAAGTAAAACTAAAGTAATTTTAATTTTTATCTGAATAGTCTAAACTGAAGAAATCATTTTAACCATTGGCTTGCTTCAGTGAAACAGATACTGGTGCTATTTCTAGGGTATAGAGGCTCAAGGATGGGATGGCTGAACTTTAACTCTAAGTCAATTTACTGGATTAATTTACCACAAAGGCTAAACAAGTAACACTCCAGGAGCAAGTGTGAGTGTCAGTTGTTCTGAATCCTCAAAAGCTTATCACTTTTAATTTTTTCCTGAGGGTAAAAACGGTATCTTATTGCTTTGGTTTGTATTTTTCTAATCACAGTAAACTTCAGCATCTTTTCACATGTTAATGAACTGTTTCCTGTCAATTCTTCTTTCCGTATATACCTGTAGTTGGCTCATCTTTTTATTGTTATATGTTTATCTTTGTCTATTCCAAATAAAAACACTTTGTTGCTTTCATTGTTCCAGATTTACTGGGCTTACACCTCCTACTGCAGGGTTAGCATCCTGTGGCCACCATGACAAAATTCTATATAAACACCGACTCAGGGCCACCACTAGAACAGTAATATTAAGAAATATTTATTTACAACCAGATTAAAGATTTTTCCTCTTTATTTGTCTTTAATTACTATTTTTTCTATTGAGTTTCATTGCAAAAGCATAGCGCGAGCCCACAACAAAGAGCAGTCTGGTTCCTGGTGCAGCAGGACCCGGCCTAACAGAAGTGCTTCATTAGCAAAGCTGCGAAGATCGGCTCTTCCCAAGGCTGCCTCCCTCTGAAAGAGTTAAGTTCATATCCAGTCCCCTGGCCTATTTGGAAAGGGTCATAACTTAGGTATTTGGAAATGCAAAAAACACCTTAACATCAGATCTTAGTATCACAGACCTAGAAGGGATCTAGAACCTTTCAGTCTAACAAGGTGATGTCCAAGGGGACACAGAACTGAATTCAATACTACAAAAATAGATCCATTTTGCCCAATGCTCATTCTCAGTGCCTGAAAGAGTAATTTAATGAGACTGGTTCAGGTATGTTAGGCTCATGAGTCAGAGTGAATGTGAAGGCTAGTGAGTTTTCTTTATTTAGGAAGAAAGGGGACAGTAATCTGATGTTAATATAGCAAAAACGTTTAAGTTTTTATGCTAAAAAGGGAGGTTATCATTTGTTTCTATTGGCACACAAGAAGATGTTGGTGTTTAGGCTACTGTGGGGACATTCTAAGGCAGCATCCTAGCACAGCCCACAGCGCACGCTCCTCCACACCCCGGCGGCCCGCAGAGGGGAAGCACGGCCAATCGTCCAGAATGTCACCCTCAGCTGCTGTCAGCTCTGGGATTTGAGTGATATCTGCAAACACCATGATATTAACATTCTAAATTATCTTTCCATGGCACATCAGGAGTAGCCATCTATCTCAAGGAAGAAATTAGGCAATTATTTAAATAATTAATAGAATAAAATAAAATAAAACTTTTCTATAGGGGGATAGCCAACGTACAAACAATGTCTACTTAAGATTTAAAACAGATATTAAGTTAGGAAGGAGAAAAGACATTCTAAAATGAGTAGTTCTGTTCTGGTTTTAATCATGTGAATAAACTGTTTAACACAATATAAGAAAATCATTAATGCTGACATTTACCATCCTAATGAATTCAACAACCCCTGTAGGAAATTCAATAAACAAGTTTATCATGTTATTTAATACCACGTACCTGAAAAAAACCTAATGTTGAAGAGTATGGGAGACAAAAAACAAACCAAAAAAACCCACATAGAGGTACATTTATTCAATTATACAGCAAATACAAATTACAGGCTCAAATGTATTCTTTGATATCATTAAAATTTTGTATATATTGTAAAGATATTAAAAGTAAATAAAAATTATGAATACATTTAAAAAGTAGTATAAAAATAGTTTGGTGAGGTAGAGGGATTGTGTATCCACCATCTGAGCATACAACTATTGGTCGAACTTCACTACATGAAAGTACTATGCAGTAGCACATGTCAATTTTGTATCTTGCCTTTTAATGTTACCTTCCTTCCCGCCTCAACCTGCATTTTATTCCAGGTCCCTACTCTACCTTCACCACAGAGCAGCATCCTGTCATTTCCGAGGCAATGCCACCATCTGCAGCTCATAGGCAGTAGCAGAAAACATGGTTTTGATGGTGGAAATACCTGAAAGTCAGGCTACATATAAACAAATACTTTTTTTCAAAACAAGGCGAATTACCTTCTACTGGCCCAGTAATCTTGGGGGTTATTATTGATTCTACAAGTCAAAGAGACATAAACAGGGAACTGGGATCAACCAAAAGCAACGCTGTCCTCTGAAACTTGGAGAGGTGGGTTGAGCCTAAGGGTAGCTACTGGCCATGACCCCAATTATGAGGGACATTGCTTGGGGCAGGCATGTGTCTTGGAATCTTCCTTCTGAGTCCTGGTCCCTTGAAGCAGTTGAATAGACACCCCAAGATACTCCGGAATAAGTAAATGCTCACTGAAAGGGCCCTTGCAACCTTTCTGAATCCTCATTCCTGAAACCCACAAGACAATAAGAATTCAAATTTTTAATAGCTTAAATGTAGTTTCTATATTTAAAAAAAAAAAAAAATCGCCCTGGCTGGTTTGGCTCAGCGGTTAGAGCATCGGCCTGCAGCCCAGAGACCGGGGTTCGGTTCCCGCTAAGGGCATGTGCCTCGGTTGCAGTTTGTCCCCGGCCCTGGTTGGGTCGTGCGGATGGCAACCACTCGATGTGTCCCTTTCGCGTCAATGTTTCTCTCTCTCTCTTCCTCTCTCTCCCTCCCACTCTATCTGAACAAAAAATGGAAAAATGTCCTCGGGTGAGGATAAAAAAAATGTAAATAAATAAATAAATAAAATCAAGAGAAAAGGAGTAGGCAAAATGCAATAAAAATTTTACTAACAAAAAACTAAATACAGATGGGCTATTTTGGGCATTTCAGGCAGGGAACAGAATGGTGCTCAGAAGTAAACCCTGGGGTCATTCGAATTGTAAACCACGAGGTTACGCGATCTGTCCGAAGCCACACACGGCCGTCAGAAATGCCTTTCCCCAAGCACACGTCATCGAATGGATAGAGCACCCACCGTGATGTTCTCCAGGTCGAGGTGCTTGTTGTGCACGGTCTCACAGAGCCTCCGGATTTTCTCCTTGATTTTGTTCATGTCCTTCTCATTCAGCAGTTTAGCTGAAGAAGCATCTTGCTCCAGCTCTAGAAGTCGAATCATTAGATCTAGGCTAGCTCTATCAAGATCCATGTTCAAACGGTCTCTACTCAATATGTACATGAGGGCAGCTGTGCAAAGGGACAGATTCTTCAACAGACCCCAAAAAAAATCAATTTAATCAATTAGTGGCAATTTCAGGAAATCAGACCATTTTGACATTTATTCATACGGTGGAAACCTTGAAAATGTTTTATTCACTGAAACCCCTACCCTTACAGTACTGCACAGAAGCGTGACTCGAGCAAGCGAAGTGCTGCGGCTTCTCGGCGTGCTTTCTGCCCGCCGCAGGGAGCCCCCCCAGAGCGGCGGAGGCTCGGGCCTCTGGCCCCTCCTGCTCACGCAGAGTTCACAGAGCACGTCCTTGCCAGCTCTTTCTATATAATCGTATTTTGCGACACACTTTACTTTTATTCTTTTTGATTAAGTGAAATCAAATGTCAAAAAACAAATTTCAATAAATAAAATCAATAATGTGTTTTAAACCCTCTCAGAAACTTAGTTACGTTTTTCTGTAAAATAAATACAACTGAGTTTGTGTCTATATGTAAAACTAAAATGCCCAAATAAATACCTTTAGATTCATTTCTTTAAAATAAACCAATCAGATCTGGTTGAACCAAGTATTTAAAAATAAAATAATGTGCTCTCCAAATCAATCAAATCAGGTAGTTGGCACACTTTGCGTGTAATAGGTACTAAAATCTACAGGTAATGAGTGATACAGTTTAGGTAAGCATTATTCCAACACATGAGATATACTATACTTACATTTATTTCAATGCATAAAAACAATCCAATATGCAAACATTTAAATTTTAAATCCCCCAAAGCAGAGATTTCAGGCTAAGTGACTGACACATGCTTCCACAGAAAGCTGCTTTTGGACATTAGGTGACACAGCACAGGCCTTGGGAGACCCACTGCCCAAAGCACACACATTAATGCCCGTCTTCTCGTAACTGCTGAGCGCAGACAAACGGCTCTCCCCTCCTCCCACTGCCCTGTGTCCGCGGCATGGGAACGGGGCTGTCCTCGCTCAGGGCTAAGCACACTGCTTCAGTTTCCGAAGACTCAGACTGTGTCTCCTACTCTGCACTTGAAACAATTTCCCTGAACAACAATATAATAAAGCCATCTCAAAATACCACTAATGATAATAATTAGTAATGATTACTTTTTTTAACTTGAAAAAGGTTAAACCTGAGTTTTACTATACATTTGTAAGAGAAAGCATCAACAAAATGAAAATGAAAATGAGGAATTCTTTCTCACAATGAGCTTTGTCCTGATTCAACATCCAGACAAAATTCAAAACCTTTTTTGTCGTGTTATTGATATCAAAGAGTAGTAAAAGATTGTCCAATACTTTGATTCTATAATCAATGCTTATAGAATTAAATATCCAGTATGCTATGATAGCTGAATAATGTTTCAATAGTACAGACTGACAAGAGAAAAAATGCCATGAGAAAATAATCTTTAATGATTTATTAAGCAAAAACTTCTAGCATGAAGTTCTATATATTTAGCAAATAAAACTCAACCCACATTTAGGAAATATTTATATGCAAATATATAATAAAGATATTTGTCAATAACCAAATAAGACTAGAATTTTAAAATAATGCTTCTCAATCCCAGAAACTTAAAAATACCTGATGGTGCTGGGAATCGTCCAAGGTTTTAAAGACCATCGCTACCATTCCGTGTGCTCTCAGGTGCATTCGGAAACTGGGCATGGCACATTTAGTAGCCAAGCTAATAACACTAGAAGAAAACAGACTAGGTTAGGGAGACTAAAAATAGCTGATGCATCAGTGTCTTGTCTGCACAACACCAAACAAGCCAGTGTGCGGCGTGTCAAAGCACTGCCTCCACAGGTCACAACGTGAAAAGCACAGGCAACCAAATCATTAAACATTTACTCATGTATGATGTGTGACTAGGTATGTTATATTTAACTATATAAATAACAAATAACCATCTTTGGTTTATTTCTTATATTACTACTACCGTTAAAAGCAAAAACTCTCAGCTACTTTTCATAATGCCTCTCTGATACATGAATTTTATAAAAACTGAATGTATTCTCACTGACTGGATAATTCAATCAAATCAAGATATTCAATCCATTATAGTATGCAAAAGATTATCCAAATTAAAAATGCTTAAATGAATCAAATGTATCACTTGCATGTCAAAAGTAATGGGCTTAGAGGAACCTGAAAGCTTCTTCAGCATCACATTTCTTTCAGAAATCTGGAAACTGCAGCCTGCACTACCAGACTACGAACATACAGCCTTCCTTTATCCACGTGGGATGAAGTCCCTCCCAAGAGATCGATCACATTCTAACACACCACGCTGGCTGCAGCTACGTCCGCGGTGAGACCACCAGCGTGGGCCTGCGCCGGCAGCACCTGGGCGAGCGGAGCACGCACGTCACACACACGAGACCTCACCTAAGGCAACGCGTGTTCAGAGGCTGGGTGCTCTTTAAGCCACTTAACAGATACTCGATGTCATCAGTGAACTCTTGATTTTCACCAAATTCCACCACATCATTGAAGTGCTTCACGTGCTGAACAACAGTATATAACTGCCAAGAAAAAATAAGTATTCCTGTATGTCACTATGAACTAGTATATTTAGTTAAATCTACAGGCTTGCTGTACTTTATTTGAAATTGTATAAAATCGTTTATTACATGACAACTGAAAAATATGTTATTAAAACACTGGTAGTGCCCTGGCCAGTTTGGCTCAGTGGTTAGAACGTCAGCCTGTGGTCTAGAGAGACCCGGGTTCGGTTCCCGCGAAAGTCACATACCTCGGATGCAGTTTGTCCCCGGCCCTGGTTGGGTCGTGCAGGTGGCAGCCACTCAATGTGTCTCTTTCACATCATCTTCTCCCCCCCCCCCCCAATCTGAACAAAAAATGGAAAAATGTCCTCAGGTGAGGATAAAAATAAATAAATAAATAGAACACTGGTAGTGCCCAGCCAGTGCAGCTAAGTGGATTGAGTGTTGTCTCATGGACCGAGAAGTCCCGGTTCGATTCCTGGTCAGGGCATATGCCCGGACTGTTGGCTCGATCCCCAGTAGGGGGTGTGCAGGAGGCAGCCAATCGATGCTTCTCTCTCATATTGATGTTTCCATCTCTCCCTTCCTCTCTAAAAAAAAATTCAATAAAAACATATTTTTTTTAAAAAGAGAGAAAAAGATGAGTGCAAAACACTGGTAGTAATAGGACAAGAAAAGTTCGTAACTCAAAGCTGTGAATATCAGTGTGTGATGTATTTGTGTTCAAGATATTAAAAGGCTAAATGTTACACACAAAAATTTATCCATGCACAGTAAAACTACATGGCTACTTACTTCTTTGTCTTCTTTCCTGCATTTTAGTGCAGTAACTATATCTTGGTAGGGCTGAGTAGGTATAGTCACAGTTTTGATCACTTTGGGTGGTGGTGCAGGAGCCTTAAAAACTCCATCATCTTTTTGATTTGGTTCCTTTGAAGATAGCCTCACCTATTAAAAGAGGTGTTAAGTTAGTTATTCTAACACACACACACACACACACACACACACACACACATATACACACACACACGTATAAACATCTCCAAAAAAGACAGGAGGAGGCCTCTGAAAGGTCCTGAGAGATACTTTAAAATTCCAGTCGCCATTAGGTAAGATTAATGTATGTTTTACTTACAGAGGAACCACTCAGTAATTCCTTCTTAAACTTACATTTCACACAATCTGTTATTTGTCTCTAGGACCATTAGAAAGAATAAAGAACCACAATTCCATATATAAATAAATACCACTTGTAAGAAGCTAGGGATGGAATACAAAAACTACAACAGGAGACAAGAGAATGTTTAAAGCACAGGTACCTATCGTTTGGGGCAGAAATAAACAGGCACAATAAGAGCACAGCATATAATTACTAATGGGCACACTGATGATTTTAAAATAATAAAAGATGTTGAATATATTCAATTTAAGAAGAGAGGGAACTAACTACACATTGTATTTTAGAAAGATCTTTATTCCCAACTTCTGTAGTTGTTATAAAAACCACACTCCATCACTGCTCCAGATGACTAAGGTGTCATCATTATCTACATGTATTAATATATACGGTCCTACCAGCAATTCTGAAGAAAATAATTTGATAATCTTTTTCAAATGTGTTCTGAATTAAAAGTTATTACTGGAATGCAGGAATAAGCAAATTAACCACTCAAAGTGACTTTAAGATCCATGTAGAATGTAACTTACAATACAGCTCTTAATAGTTAATACAAATTTCAAATATGGACTAATTTGCCCTTTAAAACCAAATACTATAAATTCCGTAAAATGTGGGTCAGAAATAAAAAGTAAAAATATTTTTTAAGGCTTTTTTAACCTAGTAGGACCAGAATTTCTGTAACCCTGTCCACAATCCTCACTTTTCCAATGAACTGAACTAAATTTTAATTAGGAAGCCATTACATTTTAGTTAGGAAGTCCAAAATAAACTGTTGAACAGGAAAGTCAGAGACATTCAAATCCTGAACAAGAGGGCAACGCTGACGCGCGGCACTGACGACAGTACTCACCGGGACACTCTGAGGCTTCGCCGCTGGCGGCCCAGGCAGCTCTTCCGAGTCTGGGTGGTTCCAGTGCCTGGCGTTATACACAGCTTTGGTGGGAGACTGCACAAACGAGAGATTTCACCCTTGAAAGTTTGTCCAATTCCATAAAACAGAAACCCCAATGAGTGATCTGAGTGCATGAACATGACAGGGCAGAGCAGGAGACAGCACCTGGCGCCCCCCGCAAGGGGGTCACTGTGCCCACTCAGCCGACAACCAGTGCTCTAGAGGACAACTACTACCAACCAAGAGAAGAAATGCACGCTCTTGCCAGGTTTGCACTACGTATGAATCAATGTAATTAATTCAACATGTTCTTTATCCCTCGTGCTACTGATTCCTGCCACGCATTCGTCCAGCCATGGACTCGGGCAGCTCAGAACAAGTGCTTAAGGCCCATATTCATTTAAGTGAAACTTTTAGGGCCAGATGAGGGCCATTATTCAAAAGCTTTCAAATCTTATGAAGGTAAACATGGTACATATGCACATGTTACAAAACACAGTGGAGTCAAAAGGAGCGCTATGCAATAACATCCATGACTTCTGCAGCAAAGTGTATGCATGTTCATACTAGGTGGGGATTGCCCGATTCCGGGTAGGGCAGTTTGCTGGCGATCAATTCACTATGAACCATAAAAACCTTTCAGTGTAACACTCAGCACCGTGAGCCTGTATAATCAAATCTATAGGATTAAACCTGAACAAATCCTTACTTTCAAAGAAGATTGATAATAATAATCTACATATTTTCAGTACCACAAACAAAAAAATGAGAGTACACGAGGAGAAACGTACTTCAAGATTGGCCAAAAACTTGCATAAAAAAATTACCTATCTTTCCTTACTAGCTGCAGTGAACTAACATAATTGAAATTGAGCACCATACAAAGTTATCTTTTAATACAACTATTATCTTCAAAATAATCATGTTTTGACATCAAGATCACAGTGTAAACTCCACAAGACTGGTTTTGTTTGTAAGATTTAAAATTAATTAATTATTTTTGTTACAGATGTTTCTTCCTTTCCCCCTCTAGACACCCTCCTCCCCATCCCGCCCCCCAGCACTGTTGTGTGTAGCCATTGGTTACACACACATGCAGATAGGTTCTGTGGTTTATCTCCCCCCCATTCCCCATCCCCATCCCCCCTTTCTGAGGTTTGTCAGTCTGAACCGTGTTCCTTTCTATGTCTCTGGGTCTATTTTGTTCATCAGTTTATTTTGTTCATTATATTCCACAAATAAGTGAGATCATGTGGTACTTGATTTTTAAATTGATTTTTTAGAGAGAGAGGAAGGGAGAGGGTGAGAGAGAGAAACATCGATCTGCTGCCTCCTGCACCCTCCTGCAGGGATGGAGCAGACAGCTCGTTTAAGTAGCCTCTAAGACCCAAAGACTTCGGGAAACAATAGGCGCCCCAAAGCTCAAGCATCCTTTTTAAAAAGCAGTGATCTCAACTCTGGCTGGGTGGCTCAGTTGGTTGGAGTGCCATCCTGAGCACCAAAATGGTTGTGGATTTGATTTCTGGTCAGGGCACATACCTAGGAGGTTGCAGGTTTGATCCTTAATCAGGGTGTGTTTGGGAAGCAACAGATCAATGTTTCTCTCTCACATTGATGTTCCTCTCCCTCACCCCTCTCTAACTCAATAAATATACCCTTGGGTGAGAGTGAAAATAAAAACAAATAAGTAAATACATAAACAAAATAAAGCGTGGAATTCAGGTAATTTTTTTGATAATAAAATGGTTATCTGCCTTAGTTGGTGTGGCTCAGTTGGCTGGGCATTGTCCTGTCCATAAAAAGGTTGCTGGCTCAATTCCTGGTCAGAGCACATGCCCAGGTTGCAGACCTGATCCCCAGTAGGGGTGTGCAGGAAGCAGCCAACTGATGTTCTACTCTCTCATCGATGTTTCTCTTTCTCTTTTCCTTCCCCTCTCTCTAAAAATCAGTAATAATTAAGATAAAAAAAGGTACCCTGGCCAGTTTGGCTCAGCAGTTAGAGAGCCGTCCCACAGACCAATGAGTCACAGGTTTGATTCAAGGGCATGGACCGCGGTTGCAGTTTGTCCCCAGACCCGATCGGGTCATGCGGGAGGCAACCAGTCAGTGTGGCTCTACCACATCAATGTTTCTCTTTCTGTCTCTCTCTCTCCTTCCCTCCCATTCTGTCTGATGATAAATGGAAGAATATCCTCGGGTGAGAAATAAAATAACAATAATAGAATAAAATAAATAAAAATTAGAAAAATATCCTCGGGTGAGGATAAAAAAAAAAAAAAAAGTGTCTGTGGCTCCAAAGATAACAAGAGAGCAGGGCAGGTCAAGGTTCTGAGCTCCACTGACGCCCTCCTCGTTCAGACATGGGCCAGATACCAAAGTATCAGCTTCATAGTGAGGTGTAGTCCTGGGATAGGGCGGGAGCTGGATGGAGGGGGGCAGAGGGGAGAAAATGAGGGACATCTGTAATATTCTCAACAATAAAAATAAATTTTAAAAAATCAGTTGCATTTCTATACAACTAACAACAACAAAAAAAACCAATCTAAAAGAAAACATGAAAAAAAATCCCATTTACAATAGCATCAAAAAGAAAATGCTTAGGTATAAACTTAACCAACAAGGCCAAAGATTTGTATACTGACAACTACAAAACACTGTTGAAAAGAAACTAAGGATACAAATAAATGGAAAGACATCCTGTCTTCACGGATTCAAAGACAACCCTGTTAAAATGTTCATACTACCTGAAGTGATCTACAGATTCAATGTGTTCCTATCAATGGTATTTTTTATAGTAATAAGAAAAACAAACTTAAAACTCATATGGAACCACAAACAACCATAAATAGCCAAAAAGTCTTGAGAAATAACAAAAAACTTGGAGGACTTGCACTTCCTGATTTCAAAACATATCACAAAGTTACAATAATCAAACCGGCAGGATGCCAGCATAAAGATATACAGACCAACAGAACAGGGTGGAGAGCCCAGAAATGAATCTACATCTATATGGTCAAATGCTATTCACCAAGGGGGCCAAAACTACACAACAGGACAGTCCTCCGACAAATGGTGCTGGGAAACCACATTATACAACAAGCAACTCAAAATGGATGAAAGACTTAAACATAAGACCTGAAACTTTTGAACTAGAGAAAATGCAAGAAAAGATACAGAACACTGGTTCTGGCAACGACTTCTTGGATATGACACCAAAAGCACGAGCAGCAGAAGTAAACAGACAAGTAAGACTACATCAAACTAAAAGGCTTCTGTACAGCAAAGGAAACAATGAAAAGAGTGAAGAGGCAACCTACAGAACAGGAGAAAATAGTTGCAGATGATATATTTGATAAGTGGTTACTACTGAAAATATAGTTGACCCAGGGGGACATCTGTAATATTCTCAACAATAAAGACATACGTAAGAAAATAATAAAGAAAGAAAACATGGTTGATCCTTGAACCACACGGTTCTGAGCTGCACAGGCCTACTCAATCACACACACAGTGTTTTCAGTAAATGCAGTTGGCCCTTCATATCTGCAGGTATTGCATCTGCAGATCCAACTACCAGCAGATTCAACCTATAGTGGATCGAAACAGTTTTTTCGAATTCCCATCTGCAGATCAAAACACTGTTTTCAAACGCAGTTGGCTGAAAACACATGCAAAATACTAACTGTAGTTTTTTGGAGTCAAAAGTTATACGTGGATTTCTAACTGGGGTTAGCAGGGTGCACTCAGTACCCCTAACTCCCACATTGTTCAAGGGTCAACTATAAAAGTAACCCCTATAATTCAACAGCAAGATGAATAAACAAATAAATAAGAAATGGGCAAAGAACTTGAGTTTCTCCAAATAAGACATACAAAGGGCCAACAAGTTAAATGAAAAGATGCTCAGAATCATTAAGAAAAATGCAAATCAGAATGACAATATCATATCACACTGTGAAAAGAACAGAAAAAAGAGTTGGCAAGACCGCAACCTGGAACCAGTTCCTTAAACACCGTCAGAGGGGATTTAAATGGTGCCGCCATTATAGAACACAGTAGGAGGTCCCCCAAAATTTACAAATAGAACTGCCACAAGATCCTTCAATCTCACTTCAGGGCTTTATGTACAATAACTGAAATCAGGATCTCGAAGAAATATCTGCACTCCCTGTTCACTGCAGCATTTTATCACAACAGCCAAGAAATGGAAACAACCTAACTGGCCATCAACAGAGGAATAGATAAAGAAAATGTTAGGTATATCCACACACCAGAGTATTATTCAACCATGAAATAGAAGAAAATCCTATCACATACTACAATATGGATGAACCCTGTGAATGGGCGGGGGAAGGGGGGGAGACCACCTACTAAGAAGGGCTCCTGGTGGCTAAATGGGCTCAAATAAAACATCAGAAGCCTGGCGGCCATTTCTGCTCAAGGACCTCTCCCGCAAACCACACTTCACAGCCAAGCCTCTGAGCCTGCCTGCCTGCACTTTTTCTGCCATTCCTGGGATCCTATTTCAACCAAAATGACTGTGCAGCTCGGACCAATCAGAGTGGCCCTATTCTGACTAATCAGAACAGTGCCTTTTGGATCAATCCCTGTAAGTTTTAGCATCTTTATTTGCATGATGATGGCCCAATGGGGAAGCAGGGGCAAGAACTTCTGGCCTATAAGCCAGCTCCCTTCTGGCTGCAGGAGCATTTTCCGGGAAGGCTGCAGACCCCCAGACAGGAGGTCGCCTGGGCACCATCGCAGAGCAGAGCAGAGCAGAGCAGAGCAGAGCAGAGCAGAGCAGCTGCCTGGCTGAAGAGGTGCTGGCACGGGTGCTGGCCGAGGAGCCCCTCACAGCCGTGCTGCTCGCAGGAGTGCTCATCACTGTCTGCACCGAGTAAGGTTTCCTTCTTCACCGAACCCCACATGGGGATTCCCGTCATGGACGTCAACTACCATCTGTTGACACCCTTAGGATGTTGTCCTAAATAAGCCAGTGTCAGAGGGCTAATACTGTGTGATTCCACTCATATGAACTATCTAAAGTTGTCAAA